TTCTGACAGTATGTTATAAAGATATTATTCGCAACCAGTGGCTAAGAGGAAGAGGGAAGGTGGATCTCCCACTGGGCTCTGATGTGAATCCTCTCTTCCAAAGCATTCAAGATGTTACAACCCCTGCATGGTTTACGTTGCCCTAAGAGAGCTGTGGCTCTGGGCTTTGAAAGACATCAACCTTACCTTTCACTTGCTGACTAAAATAAAGCAACCAATTCTACCGAGAACACTTGAAATGTAGTGTGTAAAAGTACAAATAAAAGATCCACACACACAAAAAAAGATAAGGCACCGCACCATTCCCAACAGTAGCAGGGTTGTATACATGAAGAGCAGTATTGTATGCTGCATAGTACTGCCAGGACGGATGTGCTCATGTATAAATTTGCATTTAGCTTTGATGCTGGGATGTAAATCTACATTCTTTCAAATGTTTTGCATTTCAAACGCTTACTGTCTGCAGACTTAAAAAGTGGATAAAAAGTTTATAATAGTGAATTCCAAAAGTTTTTCAGTCTAATATTAAACAATATGTAAAGGAGTGAGGTGGGTTATGCTCCAAGAGTCACATCATTGTGAGCTGGACTTTGTTTTTAACCATGAAATGGACCCTGACTATCAGAACACATTTATCTCACTGGAATCAGCCTCTGTATGGTTGGATGGGTTAGATAGATGATTGGTATTTTATATGCAAAAGATTACTATCAATTCCCTTATTGTTCATTTGACTGATAATTACTCATCACTGACAATTACTTGACTATTATTTACATGCCGTAAAACGAAATAAAACATATCCAATATCTGATAGCTGTAGGCCCCCTTTTTCCAATTCAGATGCAAATTCTATTCCCTGTTTTTTAAGAGGTTTCTGTGAAACTGAACTAAGTCATTTCATGTTGTTTCTGGAGGGTAGGAATTATCATAGCGTAACACACTAAACCCTGGTTTAGCAAAGAGCGTAACAAGATTTCAGATAGGGGAACATGAATCATTTTCTTGCATGAACCAAACACATCTACCAACAATGTGACCGCAGACCCCCTGAAAACAGGGAGAAGAAGCTATCAGGAATGATCTTAAAATCCCCCTTTCTTATGACTTCTGCTAGACCGCGGATATCAGCAGCCCTCAGCCTCAGCGTGTCATCTGTCAGGAGAAGTCGTCTAATATGAACATGGTGCCAAATAAGGCAAGGAGGCACTTGGAAACCAAACATCCCCTCTGAGAGAAACTTGGCCAATTTCAAAAGAGCACTGGAGGGGAACCAGAAGCAACAAGACTCTTGGACTGCATGAACATATCTTATTAGGTGAAGGAGGCAAGATGAGCTATTGCAAAGCAAAAAGTTTCATGTCATGTTATCAAAAATGCCCATATATAACAATACAGTCAAAAGAATAACTGAAAACATGCCAGTTGATGTAGGGTTCTTTTTTTCTCAAACATGAATATATATGTATGCCTTAAGAGTTTACCATGGGCTTTTTAGTGTCCCAAACAAGTTATGTGTTTTTAAAGCACAGTGATAGGCTGCTTAAGGTTCCTAGTTTGAATCTCCTGCCCTGCTTGGGCTTTTCTTTGTGGACTTTTCTTGCTTTCTCTCTGATTAGGATAGATTTCTTCAAGGTACACCGCCTTCAGCCTAGAATCAAAAGACCCGAATTATAGGTTAATTGGTGATTCTTAATCGATTATGGCTGTGAGGCAGGTGAGTTGTAAAGTGCTTTGAGTGGTCAGTAAGTAAGACAAGATCCATTACATGGATCTGCAGCAATGACTGAAAATGAACTGTGTTTTATATGGTAGAAGGAAAGAAAAAAGAAGCCAATGAGAAAAACCTAGCAAAGTCTTTAGAAGTGAATATCAGGAGTTTAGGGAGGAAAGAAAAGGCTTGTGAGGACTTTAATAAGAGATTATGTGTTCTTCCGAGGCTCACAGGAGGGGCTGCTATTACAGAAACCAAAAATACCTAACCATCGAAGTCACCACAGCCAACCTTTAAAGGGCAGAGTAGCAGTTTAGTCACGGGCTTTCATGAAGTTGGGTGACTTGTGAAAGACATCTTAAAAATGAACATTCGCAGCTGGTGCAGTGGAGGCCAAAACATCCCCCTCCAACCATCCCATCTAGTGTTTTAGTCTATTTTTACATTTCTGCACCTCCAGTTTTATTTTGCTATTTTCTCAGGGCATGGAAATATCATGAAATGTTTTAATTTAATAATCAAAATTTACAGATGGGGAACATCTTAAAAAAAAAAATCTTTCCACAATTTTTATGGACATCAAATAACAGACAAAATTCCCTTTTATCCACAGACAAGAGTTTTGTTTTTCACTGGGTATCGCATGCAGAAGAGCATTTTCAACCATAATTTGCACCCAAAGTAATCTCATTCTTGGCTGAGTGTGAAATGTTATTACATTGCTTTAAGCAACTGAGCCTGCTTTACGCAGATTAACAAGAAGCAGAAAAGTAGGGCCCCGTAGTCAGAGAATAAAAGTGAAATCAGATCAAGTATCAATGTCCCTTTATTAACCTCTTCACCTGTCTCATTTCTTTATCTCTGTGATCTGTTAATTTCAGTTCCAGTATTTTTCTCTGTTAAACACTTCACCTCCAGTCTCAGCTCTCTGTCCTCCTTTTTATGGCACACTAGTCTTGTCTTTTTCACCTCTCCATATTCAAATCATACCCTCCAGGTGTTTAGGTGCTCTTTTCTATAATTTGTCCCTTTAATTTTGTGTCACAGCTCTGTTTCAGCTTTTTTAATGAATTGGAGAGAGACAGAGAAAGTCTGCACTGCTTGTAAAAGCTTAAGAATTACTGAACAGAGCCTTCTACAATCCTGACATCAATAATGTGAGGGCCTTGTAAGGGTTGCGTTAAAGTGTGCTATCACGGCTCAGATCAGAGACAAGCTCCCATCAGATTCAGCTTTACTGCTGCATCTGTATTCCCCCCCCCCTTTTTTAAAAAGTTATTGTGAGATCAATATTTAATTTTTGGTAAATCCACTGGAGATGAATCAGACCTGACAGCTGGTATGACGGCTCTGCTAAATCACCCCAGAAGTGAAAGTGTATTGGGCGAATCATTCAGGGAGAATAGTTAGAAGTGTGTGTGGAGTGAGCAAAGATGAGTCTAAATCCTAATATGCATTAACCACTGAGTGAGTCTGCTTCTTTCTTTCTTTCTCTCTATCTTCCGATTCACCATCAGCATCCTTCTCCACATCTGACTCACAAGCCAAAACGTCAGCCTCATTCCCTTTTCTCCTCACATCAGCATATTTTTTCCGTCTTAACCCAGCCCCACCTGGTGACTGATCCACAGAAACTTAATTCCATCAGAAATATATTTTACTAAAAAATTTAAATATAATTTTTTTTGGTAGGGATAAAGGAAGAGTTTTGGAACTTTTGGAAATAAGAGGATAATCTGCGGGCCATAAATGTCTCTATGAAGCTTTATGGCAAATGGTAAATGGACTGGTTCTTATGTAGTGCCTCTCTACTCTACCTGAACACTCAAAATGCTTTAAACAACATGCCTCATTCACCTAGTCACACTCATTCATACAAGCACTTTGTGCTTTGTGTCTAACATTCACACTCTGATGGATGCATTGGAGAGCAACCTGGTTAGTGTCTTGCCCGAGGATTTTTGGCATGCAGACTGGAGCAGCGCCGCGATCGAATGACCAGTCTTCTGATTTGTAGGTGACATGCTCTACCACCTGAGCTACAGGCACACCAAAATCATACAAAAGCAGTGGGATCAGTGGTTTGGATGAAAATGGTCAGGTAAGTGACAGCCATTGGTGTCTTATTTCTACAGCCATGTTACTGGAATGGTTAAGATACAAGTTGGCTGAGGCACTGACAATAAACTGCGATGTTTGACTTTAGGCTAGAAAACAGCTGTGTCTCTTCCTCCTCTACTTCTGAGAAGTTCTGACAATAAAATTGTGGATGACTTTGACACTGGTTACATGAAGTTGATTGCAACATTAACTTGTTTTTTAGAAAATGACAAGATTGTTATCTTACACTAAACCAGTTTCAGTCCAGACCTTCACCTTTTCCTGAGATGAGCACCTCATCAGCACCTCATCACATCACACCACCTCATAACACTTCTCATTTCATTTCAGCCACTGAAACATCCCCATTATCGCTTCTTCCAAGGGTTCACACCTCGACCTGCCTTTATCACCTTTGAATACCCTGCAACCCTGTGAAACTCAGGTGTTTTATGAGTGCACCAAATTAGCTTGGCCTTATAGCTTAAAGTCAGAGGCTGCTGAACTGGGAAATTACATTTGCATTGCAATGCATTTTCCAGTTAATAGAAGTTTCCAAAAGCAATTCTGCCTACCAGTAAGTTGCATCACATGTCTCAGTTTAATTCAGCTTAATTTAGTACAGCATGCTTGGTTGGCACACATGCCATCAAATGCACTTTTACATTCTATATCTGTAAGTGAAGTGAATGAGGCAAAAAAGATGAGAGGGAGTGGTCCATCCGTGTCAAACAGTACTGAGTGCTAACCTGAGACTGATTTTGTATAATTACCACTTCAAAGAAAGTGCAGCACCTTTTACTGAAACAAATTAGAATTTAGTCTTTAGTAGTCACCCAATTCAGTCCTGTGTGCTGTTTCTTGTTATTCATTAATTACTGTAGGGGTTTTATACCAATTACAATTCTTAATTCAGCAACTCTCAAACATTTTCTGCAACCCCAACCTCTCACCCCAAATATATCTACATTATTGCTCTTTCAGGCACAACCTTTGCTTCTAAGCTCTAAAGAATTCATTTTTATTAATAGAGAACTACAACTCCAGTGTTTTCATTACTGAATGTAAATTAAAACTATCACATGATAATATTTTAAACCGGATAAACTCTCTTCACTGCTTCCCTATATCTCAAACTGAAGATGATTTACGCCTCATCTTTATTGTTGTTAGTTTGTTGTAGATGTTTAACTGGCAAACTTGTCCATGCCTTGACAACAGTGCACAACCATGCAGGATTTTTGTACAGCTTCGTGCTGTAGCCCCAGATGTGTAGCTCTTCCGTCTCTCTGGCTCTGTACACAGCTTTATGTATGGGCCACTGAAAGATTAAAATTCACATAAACATATTTTCCCCACACTTACCCCAAAGTGGTCTGCAGCAAGTAGGAATATGCAGAAAACCAAACAGTAACTTCAGCAGCATGCATGATCAGATACTGAAAGTGGAGAGCTTGTCAAAGTACAAGGAGTGTTTCATTTACTTGTTTGTATCTAACTGGTGATTATAAGAGCCCTTGTGCCATCAGTTGATGATGATCACTTGATGACAAAAACAACTTCACTGCTCAGCCTGATTTAACAAAATAATCAATTTTAGACAAGAACACTCATGTTAAGGGAGACTGGGCATTTTTTTTTCTTGAATTTTGCAGAAAAAGCTTTGTTCTTCAGGATAATCTGAAACCTCGAGACATTTTTTGTTTTAAGCTTGAACAATCTAGAAACGACTAAGGCTGTAAGCTTCTTGCAATTCCCCTTAAATGTTGCAGAATCCCTTTTATTCAAGGTATGTGCTCAGCCAGGATGTTGCTGCTTCTTGATATAGGTCATGATCTTGAAGATTATAGTGTTTAAACTGAATGAAGGTGCCCCGCATTTGGCTTTGAATACAAACTCTTACACCAAGAAAACCTATGGCACTTATCATCATTACATTTGGCCTATTGGATGAGGTAATTCTGCTAAAGTTGGAATATAAAATGTACTGAAAATGTTGGAAGCTTTAAATAACCATATAATCGTGCTCATACAGAGAAAGGAGTCTGTGCACGTGTTTCCCTTTGATGCCACCCAGTCCTCAATGCGCACAGAAAACAATCACCGCAGCAGATAAAAAGAAAAACACTCCATTTAAGACACAAACCACATCAACGTCTGAATCCAGGTCAGCAGTGCCTGCCTGAGCAAGTTTATTGATGGCTGGAAAATAAAAGAATTTACCGAAGTCACCATTCAGAGGCAGTGCAGCAAATCAAGGGCTCCCTTCAATAAAACCACACAGCCACAAACAATTGCACTTGAATGCCCAACTCCACGTATGTCACAGCAGGCATCAATGGTCTCACGCTGCCACCTCCCAATTTAACCAAGCCCAACTGCTCTTCCCCTGTCTCTTGTTATTGTTCCCTCTCTCACATCAATACACCAGCACACAATTACAGGCACAAAACAGAAGTGCACAGCAGCATGGTTATTCGCTCACAAAATCTTGAGATCTTACTTCTACTAAGGAGCTGCAGGTTGCGGACCTCTTCTCTGACCTGCAGCTGGAGGACCTGTTGGAGGACCTCCTGCCTTAGTGTCTCCTGGACAATGCCCATCCTCTCCAACTTCTCCCCATTTAAACGCAGCAATGCTCGTCCTGCAAGGAACAGAAAGGAAACGTCAGGATAGTTTTCTCCACTAATTCAGAAAGTAGCCATAAAATAGATATTTCAGTGTTATCAGCTTAAAATTTTGATTTAGCCCTTGTAAATGAAATATTGTTTCATATAACCCTATGGGAAAATACTGACACATTTAACTACTACATTTACATTTGATAAAATGTAACAGTAATGTAGCAGCAAGAACATATAAGGACCCATCTCTTTGTGTGTGTGTGTGTGTTATAAAGCATCTATTAAATGTTGCAGTGTTGTCGCTGACATAAATAAAATAAGAAAAATATACATTTGATAGAAATCTGTGGGTTCCACATGTTTCCAATGTGAATATTCTCCCAATCTCAAAAAAGAAAAAGGCAAATGAAATGCACATTCTTATGTACATAAATTAGAAATGTTTTTTCTTTTCCTGGTCAGCACTTCAGCCACCTGGTGGCTAACAGTAAAAAGGCTGGCTCACACAGGCAGACTCTTTCTATGGTTAAGTTTTACTACAGTTTGGCAGTTAACCCTGGGGACACTCACATTTAACATACCATTACCCACAGTAAACAGCTTTTACAACCAAGCCGCACTCCCATGAACACAGACACAATATCAAACACTTGTATGTGTGGAGGTGCAGCACACAGAGAGCTTACTGAGAGTAGGAGAGCTACGTCCTTCGCAGGCGCAGAAAGAAGAGGAATCCATCATACCTGCAGCAGCTCTGTACGACGCCCAAATCATAATTTGACTCATTACTCATGCAGCTCTCTATATCACTCTATTCATTTCCATTTCATTGCCCCGCACATATCTTCTGTACCTTTGTTTTTTTCATTTTTCTATACCTGCATCATAAGTATGTTCTGGAGAAGAAAAGTCACACAGGTTATATATTGCATGTACAACCAGTGTGTATTTCATAGCTTGTAAACACCTTTCACATTTCCTTTCTGTTTCTTTTGCTGTCACACTTACACTGAGCCTCAATTTTTTCCTTTATGTACCCACAGTAATCAGTGAGCAAATCTGTAGGACGAGTGCAAAAGCAGAGGAGAAAGAAGGGAACACAATAAAAGCAAATAAAATCAAAAGAGGGAAAATGGATAGAGAATTAGACCCACATGCCCTCTGTCTTTTTTCTTAGCCCATAAAATATAAATACCCTTAAAGGACTCTGTAGTCATATTTTATAACACAGACTCTATGTTGGAGAAGAGATTTGATGGTGTGCTACATTACACTGAAATAGGTCTGTTGTGACCCAGGCCCGGCCTGAGTGCCTCTAAAACCATCTGTTAAGAAAAATGTATGCCCCAAACCATATTCTTCTTTAACATCTTAATCACAGCAATTCAGATAAGTTATACAGCAAAAACCCTTCATCTAACCTAAAACCAGTATAAAAGCACTGATCTGGGATTGTGTAATTTTTCCAAATGAGTCCAACAGCTCTATATTTAGCTAAAGGAAACCTTTTGTTTCCATCAGCTCGTGTAGCATGGGCATCTTGACAGATTTCCATGTTTTTGGCTGCATGACTCAGCTGACTCATTTGCCGTTTAGTACACTCTCACAAATAAAAGCTGCTACTCTTTTGGTTCCAGTCTTATTTTTATACTCTACTATGGACGTATGTGTGTGTGAGTGTGGTATGTTTCCTCTTGAGGTAAACTGAAATACAATTTCAGACTAGAACAATGCAAAACAGTGAAGAACTATCTCAGCAAAAATGCTCTTTTAAAGCCAATTGATACTTTATATAACAGACAGCTGAATATAATATAAGATAGCAGCAGTGTGTGTTTTGTACACTTCCCAGCTCTCTGATATACGATATACTGCTCTCAATGGAACTAGCCAAGCCAAATGAGGACAGAACTGTCAGCCTGTCTTTTCCTTACTACCAGATGGGCTCCAACAATATAGACAATAGTTCCCTCTTCTGTGGGTATGGCTGCTCTCCCTTGGAGGAAAGGCCATGACAAACCAGTTAGCTTTTATAATGGTTGAATGGATCGTGTGTGTTTGCTGTGCATGTGTGTCTATGCACTTTTTGTTTAAAGGGAGATTATTTGCTTCTCCTCCGAGTCCAGGTGCTCCCTGTTTCGAGCACACAGAGTCGAATTACCCAATTTGTATGAGCACAACTACCTCGAGGATACAACAATAATTTTCCATTTATTTTGTGTGGTATATCAGTATTTCTTTCTTTTACACACACACACACACACACACACACACACACACACACACACACACACACTTCTGTCTGCTCGTACACATTCGTCGGCCTCTTTACCCAATCCCCACAAAAGCCCTCTCATGTGCGCTTGCCAAAAGCAGGACCAGTGTGTCCTAGAAAAAAAAAACTACTGCCCTTGCTCTGTGAATGTCTGTGTGTGCATGTGTACAAATGAGACAAAGCAGATGAATGGAGCTCAAATCAATTCCCCTCAGACAGACTTAATACAGCTCCTAATAATTGCCTGCAGATAGGGAAAGTATGCTGTCAAAGGCAGAAAAGAGACACAAAAACAAAAGCTGTTTCAATAGAGATCGCCTCTCTCAATTTGGCTTCAAAATAAATTGCTTATTAACAATGTCTCTGGGCAAATGGGAAGCAGTTCTGCCTTGGCTGGAACAATAATGACTCTTAAAA